CCCCCCACTTTGGCATTTGGAGGGTTAATGTAAGCTGTAAACTCACAAAACAAATGTGGTGTGAAATGTTTCTGATGCTGAAACTAACATAACTTCAAACTTAGGTTCCTGTTAATGGTTCTGTTAGACCCGATTCTTTAGTTGGAAGCCCAAGAACAAGCCGGAGAAATCTTCAGTTCTCAGTTGAGTTTCATTTATTTCGGTCACAGGTAAAGTGAGGCAGCGCTGGAATTCAGAGGGACAGAGAGGAATCTCATGTCCAGCTGAACTGAGGTTTTTCGGTTCCAGGTTCCAGATATCTTCTTGGGCCGGGCCTGCCCCCAACATAGATAAGACTTGTGCGCTACCGAGTTTAACTGGGCAGTTACCAATGGCGTGGACAGGCACACCTCTTCTGCGCTCTGTCCACGTCCTTGAAATGTGGTGAGCAGCATGTGTGGATGTTGTTGGTACGGCGTGTAGCTAAAGCAACAATCCTATCTGATAGAACAGAGGAGCTTCTGCTGTCTCCAAGTGTGTGAACCGGTTCTCACCGGCCACGTTATCTTCAAGGACACAAGCTGTTCTCAGTAGGAAAACACAAAACAGAATCATAGGCTCAGTGCAAAATACAGATTCAGAACACATAATAGCTCCAAACATACTTAATTACAACAGTTCGCCTGCAGCTTATGTTACAATCAAGCAGTCAAACATCTGAACATCGCTGGCTTTCAGCAGCCATCAGTGGCTACAGCTGTGATGTTTTAATCGTCCAGTCATCGTGTTCAGGTTAATCTCTCAGACAAAGTAAATGGACGTTAATGTTTAGGATTCTGACGTTTCTGAATCTTTACCTTCCAGGAGTCTCAGCCTCGGTCGGGTCTGCTCCAGTCCTCCATCATCACCCTGTACACCATGTTCCTGACCTGGTCTGCCATGACTAATGAGCCTGGTGAGAACATTCCTGTAGACTAAACCCTCATTTTTATGCACTTTTGTTGTCATTTAAAAGAAATTGTGTCATAATATGATGAGTCGCTGCCTTAATTAGTTGTGTCTTTGGCTCTTCTGTTGGCAATTCATGGTGTGTGTTGCACTTAAGGCAGCACAACATCCTGAAGTTAATTGATTCCTCCACAGAGGAAGCTTTACTGTCATGGTTGAAGTAACGTTTTCAAGCTCATTTCATGGAACTGGTGACCTGTGCTTCCACAAGTTCTTTCCCACGAGCATGTCTGCAAACACTGATTAGTGTGTGTCACCGTCTCTACACACACTGAGCTGTTGTTTCTCTTTTCTTTTACCCTCAGACCGAGCATGCAACCCCAGTCTGCTGGCCATCTTCCAGCAGATCACAGCTCCCACGCTGGCTCCTCTGGAGGTCGAGAACCAGACAGCCGTGGTGATCATCGGCACAGAGGAGCCCAACATGACGTCTCCGTACCTGCAGTGGTGGGACGCACAGAGCATCGTGGGGCTCATTATATTTGTGCTGTGCATCCTTTACTCCAGGTAGAACTACTGCCAGCGTGTCACATGTGGGTCATTCCACCTCAATTCTGTTGGAAGTTTTTGCATCGTTTCCTTTGCGCCAATCTGTGAATCAGTGTTTGAAGTACCATAACTTAAGAAATGATGTTTATGGTACCACTTTACATGAAATCATTTGAAGCTCTATGAGTGGGAAAACCAGGATTTTTCTTCTCACCCAGTAACACTTTTACTACTGGAGTGGTTTCATCTATCGTACCTGCTCAATGACTGTCCTAATATTTGCCATAAATTGCCACTTGTCTCTGTTTTGCCCACAGCATCCGTTCATCCAGCACCAGCCAGGTGAACAAGCTGACGATGGCCTCCAAAGACTCGTCCATCCTCGCCGAGGGCGGCAGCAGCGCCGACCTGTCAGAGGAGTCGACGGGGCCGAGACGAGTGGAGGACAACGAGCGGGACATGGTCCAGTACAGCTACTCGTTCTTCCACTTGATGCTCTTCTTGGGTTGCCTCTACATCATGATGACTCTCACCAACTGGTACAGGTCAGTGAACCCCTTCGCTCTCAGCACAGGATCTACGCGTCCAGCTGCTTGACAGAAACTGAGAAGAAACTACTAAATGACAATCTGTTGCTATTGTCCCAAACCAAACACGGAGGTCTGTCGTATCCAGCTGGACGAGGAAATGTAGCTGCAACTTGAGGAATGATTATCCATTTTTTTCAAATTGATGATGACTTAAGTTCTTTTTGTGTCGTGTTTTGTCTCCTGACAGCCCTGAAGCAGACTACACCGTCACCAGCAAGTGGCCAGCAGTGTGGGTGAAGATCACCTCCAGCTGGGTGTGTTTGGCCCTGTACGTCTGGACCCTGGTGGCCCCCATGGTCCTCACCAACCGGGACTTCAGCTGATCGGCGACGCCATGCCGATCCGCTGCATTTTTCATATATATATATACAAACTCCAACCATATTGCCTACATCTTACTGTCAAGATGGACTCGTGTTTTCTACTTTTAGCTGGAATGTCATTATTTCTGATTAAATGAAGTAAAAGAATTAGATCTGGTTCAGTGGTGCCATAAGAGCTGCTTCAAGTGCAGGTACTCAGAAGCACAAACAATCTATTATACTGTAGCTCAAACATGCTGGTTGTTGATTGTGTATTTTTATGAATTCCAAATCAAAAACTAGTTCAAAAAAATCAAGCTATTCTTGCATTTATTATTACTATTACACACCAAACAAACCACAAATGAAAATTGCTTAATTGTTGCACTGCTTCAAAATACACATACTCCAGAATGTCAGCATTACAGCCGTCCTCATGTCAGTCTGACAGATGATGTAGTTTTCTGTTATGAGCTCCGATGCCTTATATGTGTGTGTAAAATGTCTGGAGTATACGGAGAGTAACCAAAGTACATGAGTGTAATGAACCACAATATGACCTAAAGTCAGCTTAAGTTTCTGCCAAATGATTATGGACCAGGATGTTTAATGTAAAGAGGTCTTTAAATGACATTGTTAGGTGGTAAAATGGATCCACACAGTATCAGAACTGCACTGAACAGGCAAAATAGCATATGGATAAAGCTAAAACAGTGATGATTTCATTCTTGTCTGAGCACCTTTATATGACTCCATCTAGTGGGGAGTAGCTAGTATTTATTATTTTATTCTTCTTCTAAAGAATGTCCTCTCTTTTCATCCAACAATAAGTTGTTTTATAAGAACTGTCAGAGTTACCGGAACGATTCAGTATGTTGGAAAACATGAATTAAACCATGTTTATACGACACAAGCACGGACCAAATGCCTTGTAAGCCAAACTGATTTACTGTGTGTGATGAGCAGGTTGTGAGTTCTCAGCAGAGTTTCTGTTGAACTGTTTTCACTTTTGCTTTGACTCAGGTTTAACGACAGAGATCCATCGTGCAATGTCACGTTGCAAGTACATAATTAGGAGCAACAGAAGCCTCACACAAAGAACAAAGATGAAATGATCCTAATACTCCACTCAGTTCTCGGGGCTTTTCACATTTGTTGGGTTTCTCTACTATGACAGAGAACCCCAACAAATCTCCCTATAAGCAGGAAAAAGCCTCAAAAAGCAGAGCAGAACCAGGCCCGGGGAGGGCGGCCGCCAGCCAGAGAAACAAAACTAAATAACATGATAATAATATGAGATATTTGTATGACAAAAATCCTCAAATCATATTTGGTTTTCCACTTGTTTGTGTGTTATTTAGCAAAGCAGTGTGGCTTCATGTTGAATGTTGAACCTCTGCTGTGACTGACTGCAAATACTGTATGTGACTGAATAAAGGCAGATTTACAGCCGAGCTTTTGTCGTCATGTCTCTGTTTGTGTCATGAGGACTAACTGGAGGAAACATGCTCTCAAGTTTTTCCACTTTTTTTTTTTCAATGTTTTATCAGTATGAATGTCATGTTAACATCTCATCCCCACTCTCACCCCGACCAGTCCAGACAGATGGCCGCCTTCCCTGAACCTGGTGCTGTCCAAGATTTTTATTTTTTAGTTCCTTTGCACTGTCGCCTGCTGTTTGCTCAAAGGGAATCCAAAGAGAGCTTTGGATTGTTGGGTTCTCTGTTTATAACTTCACCTTACTATGATAGGTGCTATGAGATGAGAGCTTGGCACTATTTAAATAAGACTGAGTTGAACTGGATGAATGCTGCCAAATTGAGAAACTTTTCACACAGATTCGTAAAAGTGATCCTGTAGGAAATATACTAGTCATAAATCCAATGATCTCCAAAATTATAGATGGATGTATTTAGAGCGGTAATGATAAATGTGACGGCCACACAGATGGAATAAACTTAAACAGAACACCTGGAAAATTCAAATAGATCAAAAGTGTTACATCAAATTCAAAACAGGCATTTATTTTTCAGAACGTAGTAAGTTTCAAAATGGTTTGAACGTTTAATTTATCATATTTATGGTTTAAAATGCTTCTATTTACATATAACACAGTGTCTCAACCTTTAGAACCAAGTGTGGCTGAGGATCCTGTTAACCATGAAAGGTCTCTGTTCTCCTTTTTTTAAATCCTGAAGCAAAACTTCACATTAGACTGCAGCAGGTTCACAATAACGACAGGTGACACGAAACAAAACCGTCACAACCATCTACCTGTTGCACATTTTTGTAGGTAGAACTGCAGACTTAAAATCCACAGGTGAGCAGAGTGAGGACATCGTCAGCTGTCTGTCAGGTTGTGCAGCATAAAGAATCTCTCCTCAGGCTCCCTCTGAGCGCTGTGCACCACCCGGCAGCTGAACCTGGAGCCCTGCTCGTCCTTGTTGGGAGTCAGTTTGAGAAAGCTGAACATGGAGTAGAGGCCGTCGATGTTCAGGCTGGGAGGAGTGTTGAAGACACCGGAGAGAAGCGCCTCTCCATCTTTAGTCCACGTCACCGACACGTCTTCAGGACAGAAGCCTTTGATGCACAGGTGCAGCGTCATCTCTTCATTCACCAGAGGACACGGAGGGTCGCATTCGATGAACATCACAGTCGGAGGAGTTCCTGTGTGGACAGAGAGACACAATAAAGCATTAAAGAGGTTAGAGGATGTTCAGCATTTTGATACCATTAAATGGTTCATGCATTTTTACATATTGATGTAGAAGGAATAGAAGAATCTCCCTCATGTTGCGTCTTCAGGGACAAACTACACAAGAAGTGGAGTCTTAATCTTGACAAACAGGAACAGAAGCCTGACTTTTCATTTTAGTTAAGTTTAGAGCTGCAAAGCATGAACTGAAAATCTAACAAAAAAATTAAAACAATGGAAAAATGA